ACCAAGGAGGGCAGGCAGCCACAGCCCAGCTTTGGGAAGCTCACAGCTCGGGCAGGTCTGTCAGCTGCTCCTCACTGCTGGCGTGCTGAGCTACTCTGCCAGTTAATGCATGTACAAGGCTCCTGCCACAGGACATGGAGATAAGCTCAGCCCAGCTGAAATCACCTCACTGGTACTCCCTGCCAGCCCCAGTCAATCCTCACCCCTTGTCAGCAGCAGCCTGGGTCACTCCAGGCTCAGGAAGTACTAAAGCCCAAAATTGCAGCCACCACTTACACTGGCCTCTCAGAGCCCATCAGATGCCAATTCCAGAGTATGCAGAGGCATCAGCCACAAAATCTGAGCAGGACACAAACCTCAGAGAGCCACAGAACATGCTCCAATCCACATCTCGTGTTCTTCAAAAGGTACCCTGTGACTTGGAGTATTATCTGTCAGCACTGTCTGCACTCAGTCCCAAACCCTGGCACAGTGTCCTCAGTGGCTTATTAGATACAGATTTTAATTCCAGGAACTTAATGAATTCTTAATTAGCTCTCACAAGACAAGCAGACCTTGCAGACTGCTTTCACTTTTTCTGAGGGAAGGAAATAGGGTCCAGGGGAAAAAAACAACCCAGCCACAGGAGAGCAACAAGCAGAGGCCATTCCCCACATCCAGCAGCAGCAGTGACTGCACACAAATGCAGCACGTAGCAGCTGGCCAGTTCCTGGAACACCAGCCCACGTCTCAGCAGCATCCAGCAGTTTACAAACAAGCTCCAAAGCACATCACAGTGCACTTCAGTGACCTCCAGAGCAGAGGAGAGAGGCTGCAAAGGCTGCTGCACTGCAACAACCCCACATCCCCTGAGGGACCCACTGCTGCAGCTCATCCCCTGCCTTTCAGGGGGGTGAAGAGCAAATTGCTGCTTTATGCATCCATCAGCACCACTACCGAGAGCCTGGGCAGGGCCAGCATGGTGACAGGCAGGGAGGGACAGGGCAGCTCAGGGAAGATGCTCCTCCACATCTGCAAACAGCAGCACGGCTCTGTCGCATTCCTGGCTGTTCCCTTCATAACTCACCACGGAAATATCCTTCCTTGCAGGCTGGGAGAGCCACTCTGACCATCCCACAGCCACACCACTCTCACTGTGAGGCCCTGGAGGCACCGCACAGTTTGGTCCTGGCGATGCAACAGCCAACTTACACCAGCAGGACTGAGCTGTCTGTGCTGCTGAGCTTTGCAACGCTGCATCTGGTGTAGAAATCAGATGTTAGAGGGGTGGGAAAGATTACTCCTGGGACAAAAGGCTCATTGAGCCATCCTGCATTGCTATCATGGGAAAAAAAAAAAAAAAAAAAAAAAAAAAAAAAAAAAAAAAAGTGATGTCTCTCCAAGGAGCAAATCCCGTTTTTACAATAATTTTGTAAACTTCCTTATCTCGAGCCATGGCTCAGACAATTGACAGTTTTTGGATCAGGCCTGGCCACCAGGCACCCTGGCTGCCCACTTTAGCCAGGGAATAAGGACAAAACTCGGCATAGTCCAGCAGGAGGCTACAGCAAGACTGACCTTACAACAGTACTCCAGGTCCTCCAGATAGAGGCTTATGTAAGCCCCCGCTGCACCGGCAGAGGTTTGTGTAGCAAGAACAGAGACACAGTACCCAAACCTTGTAAGGTGCGCTCCGGAGCCCCCCGCGGTAACCGCAGCCCCTGAGCGAACAGCCGCGCTGCCCTACCGAGCCGGAGCGACCGGCACCGCTGCTCGGTGTCTGCCCCCGGACCCGCACCGGACACCGGGCTCGACCCGCAGCCGGCACCGGGCTCAACCCGCACCGGGCACCGGGCTCCGACCCGCACCGGGCACCGGGCTCCGACCCGCACCGGGCCCCGGGCTCGACCCTAACCGGGCACCGGGCTCCGACCCGCGCCCGGCTCCGGGCTCAGACCCGCACCCGGCCCCGGGCTCCGCAGCCGCTCCTCCCGCGGCATCCCCGGCGCGGCTGCGGAGCCCCGGGGCCATCAGCCCCTCGGTGCCCATGGCCCGCTCGGTGTCCCGGGGCCGCTCCGCTGCCAGCGCCGGGCCCCGGCAGGGCTGCGGCCAGCGCTCGGCCTCGCCCCGGCTCCGCCGCTGGCACCGCTCCGCTGGCACCGCTCCGCGGGCACCGAGCGCGGAGAGGCCGCGGAGCCGCCCCGCTCCGCCCCGCCCGCCCCCGGCTCCGGCTCCTACCGTGCCCGGGCTGCCCGCCGGACCATGGCCCCGCGCCGTGCCGTGCCGTGCCGTGCCCGGGCAGGCCGAGCCCCGCGCCCGCTGCTCCGGCGCGCCCAGCGGGGGCCGGGCCGGCATCACATGGCCCAAATAGCGCCCGGCACGGCCCCGCTCCGCCCCCGGCCCGGCCCGGGGCGCGGCCGCTCCGCCCGGGCAGCGCCGGCGGCGGGCGGGGCCGGGCCAGGAACGAAGCGGGGCCGGGATCGGAGCGGGGCCGGGATCGGGATCGGGATCAGGAACGGAGCGGGGCCGGGATCGGGATCGGAGCGGGGCCGGGATCGGAGCGGGGCCGGGATCGGGATCGGGATCGGGATCGGGATCGGGATCGGGATCGGGATCGGGATCGGGATCGGAGCGGGGCCGGGATCGGGCACGGAGCGGGGCCGGGAACGGAGCGGGGCCGGGACCGGGATCGGAGCGGGATCGGAGCGGGGCCGGGACCGGGATTCGGGATCGGGGCCGGGATCGGGATCGGAGCGGGGCCGGGGCGCTGCCGCCGGCGGAGGTCGCGGTCTCGGGGCACAGCGCAGCCCCGCCGCGGCGGTCCCTGTGCCCGTGGCGGCCCCGGTGCCCATCCCCGCCCCGCCGCCGGCTCCGTTCCGTTCCGTTCCGTTCCGTTCCGTGTGCGATCCGCGCTGTTCCCCACGCTCGCTCCAGAGCGGCTGAAGATCGCGGCCAGCCCCGGGCGGGCGCTCGGTGCCCGCTCCATCCTCGGTGCCCGCACGCCCACGGGTCCGCATTTCTGCACATAAACGGGGACCGGAGGCGGGACGGGGCTGCCCGGGAGGTGGCGGAGTCTCCGTGCCTGGAGGTGTTCAGGGAATGCACTTTGTGCCCCGCTCCGGTTGACGTGCTGCTGTTATGTCACAGGATGGACTCGGTGATCTCAGAGGTCTTTTCCAACCTAACCGATTCTGTGATTTGTTTCAACCACTCCTGGGAATGTCTGTTTGCTTCTGAAGGACTCATTTGTTTACAGAAATAACTCAGGGAAGTACAATTCTGTTAATTTCAGTCCTCATTCCAAAACCAACCCTTTGGACAAATCTGGCCCTGTAGTGCCCCTTTGAGATTATTAATTTTTCAGTGTTTCCAGACAAAAAGACTGGTTTGTAGCAATGCTGTTCAAGCTGTAAAGCCGTGGATTGTCATAAATTCAGCAAGCCGTATTGCATGGGATACCTCCAAGGACCACCTAGGAGCTGCAGGAAGTGTGATTCAGGAGGTGGCAGCCTGCCATCTGAGTCACTGTGGAATGAATGCCCCTGCACGCTGCTGCACTCACTGGTTTTTGGGATTGGACAATAGCATGGGTCTTGACATTTCTCATCACTGATGGTTTTGGGGCACTTGTGAAAAAAGAGCACAGTTAATTCACTAATTTGTTGAGCATATTTTGATATCTGTGGGGAATAGTTCCTCCATGCCAGCCACTGTGGTCCTTAAAAAAACCCCAGATTTACATCAGAATAAATTTATTACTCTAGCTGACCAGAAACACCGGGGACATCCCTGCTCTGGTGTCAGACCCAGCCGTGCTGCTCCGGGTCTCTGGAAAGGCTCTTCTGGCAGGACAGGGCTGGGAAAAGGCTCCCAGCAGCACAGGCAAGCAGCACCCTCTGCTGCTGGCAGAGCTGGATCCAGAGCGGCTCAGAGGAGCCGAGGAAAGGCACCCGCAGCGGTTCCTCTGCGAAGGAGAACTGCTCTGTGTGCTGGGCACTGAGCAGGGTCAGTTCTGTGCTGGGCACTGAGCAGGGTCAGTTCTGTGCTGGACACTGAGCAGGGTCAGTTCTGTGTGCTGGACACTGAGCAGGGTCAGTTCTGTGCCGGGCACTGAGCAGGGTCAGTTCTGTGTTCCCCTGGGCACTGAGCAGGGTCAGTTCTGTGTTCCCCTGGGCACTGAGCAGGGTCAGTTCTGTGTTCCCCTGGGCACTGAGCAGGGTCAGTTCTGTGTTCCCCTGGACACTGAGCAGGGTCAGTTCTGTGTTCCCTGGGCACTGAGCAGGGTCAGTTCTGTGTGCTGGGCACTGAGCAGGGTCAGTTCTGTGCTGGGCACTGAGCAGGGTCAGTTCTGTGTTCCCCTGGGCACTGAGCAGGGTCAGTTCTGTGTGCTGGGCACTGAGCAGGGTCAGTTCTGTGCTGGGCACTGAGCAGGGTCAGTTCTGTGTTCCCCTGGGCACTGAGCAGGGTCAGTTCTGTGTTCCCTGGGCACTGCCATGGAGCTGCTGCTGCCCTCCCTGCCTGGATGAAGGCTCAGGTGGGATTTTCCTGTGGCAATCAGCTCTGGGACCTTCCACAGGGCCCTGCCAGCCCCGAGTCACAGCTCAGCTCAGCTGCAACTTCAGCTGCACCCTCTGAGCTCACAGATGCCAGCTCAGAGTCACAACCGCAGCTCTGGGCACCGTGTGCTGTGGAGCAGCTCTGTGCTGCGGTGACAGTGTCCATGGAAATGCAATGTAAATGTGGATCCGGGGAGATTTCCTGGCCTGGCCATTCCAGGACCCTGCACAGCACTGGCTGATTCCATCCTCTCACCTTAAAAGGGCTTTGGCTGCTCCTTGCTTTGAAAAGTCCTGGCCTTGTCTGGATGAGACACCAAAAAAAAAATAAAAATAGGAAGAGTCAGAGTGAACATTTAACACTGCAGTGACATTGTGGCATTGCACAACTAAAACCCTGAAACCTCACTCACCAGGACGACAGGGAAAGACCACCCATCTCTGGAAGACATTAAAAGACACTTCTTGTTAAAAACTGTTTTTTATAAATATAATTCTCCATTCATTAAACAACATCAAAAGAATCACAAAACTTAACTCATGGGGGAAAAAAAGAGATTTTACAATTTGATTTATAAAAGTTGAAGTTAAAAATTAGTTATTTCCAGTTTTTTGTAGTTTTCTATAAAAACCAGTTTTCTGTAAAACATATAATCATACCATTGAATTGTAGGAATGCACTTGACATTAAAAAAAATGGATAAAAATCAGTATCAATAATCACTTATGGGAGAAACAGACTCTAAGAAGTTACTCCATGGAGCTGCCTTTGCAAAGAAAGATTAATATAAGCTCTTAAGAAGGTGCACACCTTCTATTAATAACTTTCACAAAATAAAAATAGCCCTGCTTCCTTGGCCTACAGCCCAGTGGATTGCTGCCATTCCTCCTCATCAGATTTGTTGCTCACTTAACCCTTCTTCCCATCCGGTCTCTCTCTTTCCAGTCATAAATTTTGTATATTCAAAAATATTTGGTTTTCATTTAGCAAATGCTAAGTATTAAAGAGTTTAACAGAAACTGTCTGTGTTGAAAAAAATATACTTCTGAAAAATCCCCCAAAGAATCCAGATCGCTCCATTCACCAAGGAAAACGTGGAAAATTTAATGGATTTTAATAAAATCTCCAATAAATTTTGGGGTGACCCACTAGATAGAGACTTCACAAATAAACCCTATTTTCAGCTGCAAAGAACAGTAGCTCCCTGAGAAAAACCCACGTGCTTATTTCAAAGTGCAAATTTACCTTTCAGTGTTTATTTCAAGAGGTGCCAGCCACATATTATCAAGCAAATGCACAAAAATAGGAAAACTCTAATGCCACAGTCACCTGTAAGAGAGGAATAAACTCTGTCATCCCTAACAATATAGCTACTCTCTCATAGGTCACTTTCTCATTAAAACTTGTTCCCTCACACCAAATACAAAGAACTGGAATGAAGTTAACATGGGAATTTTGGTTTAAAAATAAAAGATTCCTCTGCTGGCCAAACCCAGCAGTTCCCCTGAGCAGCAAGCTTTCCCTCGGTGCTGGCTGCACTGCTGGCAAACACGGCTCTGTGAGCTGCCACACTCCTCAGCCTGTGCCCATCGCTTTAGGACCCCCAGAGCAGTTTGTGCCCCGTGGCACAGCCACCCCTCCATGAACGCAGCCAGCTGCTGCCCACGGCTCAGCCCCTGCTGCTGGCACTTGGCAGAGGCTCAGGGCTGCACCATCCCTGCCCTGAGACCACAGCCCGGCCAGCCAGGCCCAGCAGGGCAGGGGATCAGCGGGGTGCTGCTGTCTTTTAGCCTGAGAATGACGTAAAATTAGAAAGAATCTGGCAGGTGGTTGATTTAACAAAGTGCCTGTGAGGTAGGTACATGCCAGCATGCACAAAGGCCTGACAGGGAAACTGAGGCACTTCAAGGTGAAGTCGTTTGTCCAAAGTCTCAGTCAGAGCCCAGAGCAGAGGCAGAAAGCTGCACTGGGCTCTCGGCTCCTCCTGAGCTCTGGCCACTGAGCCCAGCTCCCCCAGGCTCTGATGTCAGCGGTGCTCCCAGAGGTGTCAGGGATGAAGCTGCTGCTGGCAACACAGGAACAAGGACACGGTGCAGGACAATCCAGGCTGTAAAGGCCACGCAGCCAAGGCAGAGGAGGGACCCTGTGCAGCCATCACCCCAGCAGAGCTTCATAATCCACGTACCACACCAGCTGGCCAGAGCTGGGGCTGACGCCCGAGATCGGCCACTTCCTGGGCTCGTGGCCCACCCTGCTGAGCAGCGTGGTGATGTCGTGCTTGCCCTTGCCCAGAACCAGCACGAACACCTGCCTGGCCCTGTTGATGAGGGGCAGGCTGAAGCTCATCCTCTGGTGAGGCTTGGCAGGGCTCTCGGTCAGCAGCACGGTGGCGGCCCCTTCCAGGCCGCTCTCGGAGCGGGGGAAGAGCGAGGCCGTGTGCCCGTCCGTGCCCACCCCCAGCAGCACCAGGTCGAAGCTGGCGTTGGCCACCAGGGCCGCGATGTCCTGGGCGTAGAGCTGGGCGCCGCCGTCCTCCTCCACGCACAGGCGGCGGTTGAGGTGCACGGGCATGGGGTGGATGTTGAAGTAGGGCACGCGGACGTGCTGCAGGAGGTGCCTGTGCAGCCCCAGGAAGTTGGACTCGCTGTCGGTCAGGGGCACGCAGCGCTCGTCCACCAGCCACACGTGGCTCTGCTGCCAGGGGAAGCCGTAGTGGTGCCTGGCCAGGCGCTGGAACAGCCCCACGGGGCTGGAGCCGCCCGACAGGGCCAGGTGGAACTGCCCCGAGCGAGCCACGCTCCTCACGGCCGCCTCCTCCATGTCGGAGGCCAGCCGGGCAATCAGCTCCTCGGCCCAGGCCGAGACCAGGGGGCTCTGCCGAAATTGGGACCGGACCGCCCTGAAGTCACTTGGCCCCTGCCCGCCGGGGTGCAGCAGCTCCGCGGGCTCTGCCAGGGTGAACGCCAGTCCCCCAGGCACCATCTCGAAGTCCAGGAGCTGCTGGTTCTCCACGCCCCCGGGGTAGAGGCGCGGCGGCTGGCGGGAGGTGCTGTCCAGCAGAGGGGTCCAGAAGGCCCAGGAGGCCAGCAGGTTCTCCACGGGGATGAAGAAATCCTTCCTGCCGTGGTAGATGTTGGAGATGACGACAGAATAGGCGTCCCTCTCCCTCACAGGGCTGTACACGTAGAAATCGGACAGCGGCTGTCCGAAGAGGTGCAGGTCTGAGCGAGCCCCTGCTTCTCTCCAGCTGTCTTTGGGCATGACGGGCTGGAAGAGGTTCCTGCTCACCAGCACCGCGGGGGCGCCCAGGGCACCGTGCCCGAAGTAGAAGATGATCTGCTTGGGCTTGCACTGGCTGTGCCCTGCATCCCTCAGGGTGCCACTCTGAGGGCAGTAGGCCCTGTTCTTGAAGAGGACGCGGGCGTAGCCCACCCGCTCGTCCAGAGCCTTCCCGGAGGTGAGGAGGAACGGGACCCCTTCCCAGCGTGGGCTCTGGCTGTGGATCAGCACCCCTGCAACGACACACAGCCCACCACACTGAACAGCAGGCACTCCTGGGGCTCCTCCATCACCTGCCCGCTACTCGCCCTCTGTGCCAGGCACATTCTTCTCTCTCTCAGGATTTTTCATGGAGGAGCACAGAGAGAAGAAAGAGAAAACAATTTCTATTTCTGCTCCTTGTTTTTTCCATGTGGAATGTGTTTGGAGAATTGTTTCCCTGGGGTGAGTGCTTGGCTGGGTTCTGGTGAGGATTGTTTGAGCCTGGTGGCCAATCCAACCCACCTGAGACTGGGCTCTCAGAGAGGGTCCCAAGTTGTGAGTTAGATATAGTAGTTAGAAAAAGTAGGTTTGTATTTTAGTATCTCCTTTAAATAGAATATTAATGTATTATAGTATAGTTATAATAAAAAAATCATTCAGCCTTCTGAACTGGAGTCAGACATCATAATTTCTTCCCACTGGGTTCACCTGCATTTACAACAGCCCTCCTCAGCTCCTTTGTTAGCTACTGTGTCTCTAGCTCCACATTCAGCCCTTCCATGACTTCACTGCTTACCCAGAACTCAATCTCTATGGTCCCTTCCACCCAGGCCACCCATGATTCTCACTCCCTCCAGCTCCCTGCTGTGCTCCCTCCCAGCTATCCCACTTGTTCAGCCTCCTCTCATCTTGCAGGAAACCAGTTTCTGAGCAGGAGCATCATTTGGACAATTCTCTTCATGCTGGAGATGGCCTCGTGGCTCACTCATCACAGAGAACAAAGCTTTGCCCCTCAGCTGCAGAGAGCAACTCGAGTGTATGGAAAGGCAAAGGAGCTTACAGGCCACTTCTAAAAACAATGCAGAGATTTTATAATCCTGGGCCTCAGCTCTTACACTTCCCTGGATCCCTGGGTAACTGACATGGCAGCGTTATCTTGTCCAGCTCCCAGTCTCCACCACCGGATGCCTGGGCACATCCCAGAGCCAGCAGTGAGCCCCAGAGCCATGGAGCAGGTACAGCTCCTGCTCTCCCCAGCTCTGCCTGCTGCCCTGGCCGGGCCCAAACCCTCACCTGCAAAGGTCGGAGTGGTGCTGACGTGGCCCCGTGCCTCCCGCAGCTCCTGCTGCACCTGGCTGTCGTAGGCCTGGTACTGCCCCAGCACGGCGCTGCTCCTCTGCAGCCCCCACAGGGCCTGCAGGGCCTGCAGCCGGCGCTGCACCAGCTCCTGGGCGCTGCTGGCGTTGGCAGGCAGCTCCATGATGAGGAACAGGAGGGCCTCGGTGAGGTGGTTCTGCAGCACGTCCCGGATCACCCCGTACTGCTCGTAGAACCTGGTGCGGCCTGGGCACGGCCAGGAGGCAAAAGGCTGCTCAGGGGAGCTGGTTCCCCTCTGCACCACAGCCCCGAGCTCCTCTCCTCCCACCCAGCAATGAACCTGAAGCAATCCAGCTCAGGGAAGCTGTGGCTGTCCTGTCACTGGGTGTGCTCAGGGTCTGCTCGGACAGAGCTTCGGGAAACCCGTCCCAGTGAAAGCTGTCACTGCTTGTAGCAGGACGAGATGGTTTTCCTGTCCTCAGAAGCTCTGGCTGAGCCATACCCCTGGCAGACAAAATTTTGTGCACAGAGCCACGCTTCCCTTTCCCTGCCCGGCTTCTCATGCGGGTGGGAAGAGTGGGAGAAGGACAGTGCACTTCTGGAGTGACTCAGGGCTGTGTGCCAGCAGCAGCAGCTGCATCACCACCACAGCCTTCCCCCACTGCTGATCACTCATCTCCCCCCATCCAAAGGCACATTCACTAACGGGATCAATGCTGCAGACTTGCTGGGAGCCAGCCTGCCTGCTGAAGCTGAACAGGGGAAAGAAGACATCAAGTGACAAATGACAAATTTGTTCAGAGAGGGGAGGGCACAGGGAGTGGCTGGGGCTGTGCACAGACAATGCTGCTCTCCCTAAACCTCTGCAGTGCACCCCTCTCCCACAAACAGGCTCAGGGGAGCTCTGGGCTGCCAAACCAAAGATTACCACTCCAAGTCTGACCAAACTGCATTAACTGAGTCTGTGGTGGCTGGGGGAGGGAGGCAGAGGTAAAGTGAGTGGGAAGCAATGCTGCTGGTGCAGCAGCCAGGGCAGCTGCCGTGGCAGCCCAGCCCGGGAGCTTTGTGCTGAGCACTGCAGAGGCTGCTGCAGCATTGCAGGCAGGCAGTGCAGCCGTGTCCTTCAGCAGGAGCCCCACGCTGCCTCTCTGGGCTGGGACTGTCCCTCTGCAGTGCTCTCCCTGCCACTGAGAGACGGGGAAAGAAACAGGCAGACAAACCCAGGCTGAAACAGGGACAGAAACATCCAGGCAGGAGATGCACGAGCACCTCCAGAGAACTCGGGGTGAGCCTGGTGGCTGACAGGACAGCAGGACAGCTGAAGTGGCCTTAGACTGCATCAGTTCCAAATCCAGCACTGTTTACCAATAACTGGGATAGAAAGGTCAGCAGTGCCCCCAGAGCTCTGCAGCAGAAAAAGGTGGGGAGCTCTGCCCCTGCTCCCAGACAAATTGTAAATGGATTTTTTTTCTTAGAGGCAGCAACACTACCTGGAAGTGAGCCAGTCTCCAGCACAGGAAGGGTAGCACAGTCCCTCTCTGTTTCCAGGGAGCAACACACCATTCACCTGTTTCTTTTGTGTTTCTGTGCCAGCACCACCTCCAGGGCCACCTCCCCATGCTTCAGGAACCTGCCAGCTCTCACTCACTCGCCCTGCACGCCGCCTCACCAACCTTTAGCATCCACGGTCTCCTTCAAGACCACCTCCACTCGTTCCACATGATGGCGGTTCCAAATGGGGCCCAGAAACTGTCGGTTCTGATCCCGAAAAGGCAGGATATGGGCCACAGCCTGTCAGGGGAAAAGGTCAAAGAGCCAATAAAAACTCAGCAGATTCCCACAGTGCCTCTGCCTCACTGCCCCATCCAGCAGAGCAGAGTGGGTCAGAGAAGAGAAAAGCAGCAGGAGAGCCTGCAGTGACACACAGTAGGGTCACCAGTGGCTGTCCAGAGCGAACATTAAAGGTCTTTCTGAGGCATTTTGAGGTTTCATGTGAAAAGGCTGAACTACAAACTGCAGAGCACTCAGTTTATATCTGTCAGAGGACAAAGGGCTGAGTCAGACCATCCTGGGACTCAGGTTAGGTTCCAAAGTGCTGAAATACATCACTTCAGATGCTTACACCACTAAAGCCATCTGCTCTTTTGGGGAGACAGAATAAATCCCCAAAATAAAACAGAAGAAGTCCCCGCTCTCAGTGGAGATGCTCTCCTTGCAGCTGGACATGCAACTTGTGAGCAGAACCCAGCCACATTGCCATGGCTGGAACAGGCTGCTTTAAAGTGTGGCATCACCCTCCTGAGAAACAAGGATGGCATGTCCTTGAACACACTCCTCTGGGGCAGTGCAGCTCCACGTCCTGAGTGCTACCTGCAGCAGACAATCCTTCAGGGCAGGAAGAAACCTTCCCCTCAGCATCCCCCAGAACTAACACCCCATCAGCTCCTTATCATATCAAATGAAGGAGTGCTTCCAGAAGCTGTGGCTAAGCAGAGAGGCCTGTGTGGAATGAGATGTAGAGCTGGGAGAGGAGAGGTGCTGCTCACTCAGCGAAACCAAAGCCCTGACCTTGGGGAGGAGGCCAGAGGAGCTCTGCATCTCTGCTCCAGGCACACAGCCCAGCCTGCTCTGCAGAAGGGACCCTCAGCACCCCAACAGGAGGAAGCCCCGCTTTGGTCTGCACATTCCCTCTGCTCTCCCAGGACAGACAAACAGGACAGGATTCCAGGAGCAAATGGAGGCTCTGCATGGATTTGGGAGGGGAACAGCGCTGTCCCCAGGTGCAGAACCACCAGGAGTGTCCCAGGCACCGAGCCCCTCAGGCTGGCAGGGCCGTGCACTGCTCACCTGCTTGCCCAGGTAGTGGTCCACCCGGTACATCTCCTCCTCGCTGAAGAAGCCTGCCAGCTCTGCAGCCAGCTGCTGGGCGGACTGCAGGTCGTGGCCAAAGGGCTTCTCCAGCACCACGCGCAGCCAGGCCCCGGCGCGGGGCCGGCAGCTGCTGTTGATGTGCCCGGCGATCTCCGTGTAGGCAAACGGCGGCACCGACAGGTAGAAGATCCTGCCAGCCTCCTGCAGCCCCTCCTGGCCAAGCAGGGTCTCGATCTCTCTGTTCAGAGCTCTGTAGTCCTCGGCAGACCCCAGCTGGTGGTACTGGCTCAGCTTCAGGAACTGGTCCTTGAGCACGGCGCACCGGTTGGGAGCCTCGCCGGGGGGACAGGACAGCTTCTTCAGCACGTCGAACATCAGCCTCTGCCCCGGCTCCAGAGCCGCCAGGGCAGCCCCGTGGAACGTGAAGCTGTGGCCACTGCTCACTTGGTCCATGTAGAGCTGGAACAGACCCTGCCACAAATACTTCTTGGCCAAATCCCCGTTGGCTCCCAGCAAGACCACGGAGATGTGGCCCTGCGATGCTCCAGCTGGGGACGGGAGGGCTCCCACGAACAACACTGTGCACAGGACCCTTCCCAGCATCTTGGGGAGCAGAGGCAGAGCCAGGAACACTAGAGGTCAGGAATAAAAACACAAATCATTCCATGCTGTAGCGCTGCAAAACACAACACAAGGTAGCTGCTTTCCCCAGGAGAGCCAGGGGCTTCTGCCTGAATCCTCCACCCAACAGCCTCTCCTCCCCTCCACGGTCTGAGTCAAGGCAGGAATTTGGGTTCTTGACAAACCTGCAGCCTCCTTCTGCACTCCAGAAGTGGAAGGCAGCGCGTGCTGAAGGTCCTTGGGCAGCCCTGCTCCCACAGCTGGGGGTGTCAGTGCATTTGCACAGGGAAACTGAAACCCATTTTCATCCCAGTCTCAGAGCTGGCCACAAGGAGCACATGTGCCCGCACACTGAGCACACGTGTCTGCACCCTGAATCCTGCTTCCAACGTCCTGCTTGGGACTGTGCTCAGGCACTGCTGGCCTGCCTTGGCACGGCTTCGTGTCAATATTGTCAGAGCAGCTCAGGGACAAACAGGACTGCTGGCAGCCCCAGGCTCTTCTTTCACCTGATGGCTCCTGTGCACCTGAACTGGGCTCTAATGGCTGCTGGGGGACTGGTGTAAAAAACAACTCTGGGCAAGAGCTTCAGCCCTCAGACTGATGTGAGCCAGTCTAGATGCTGCTCAGGGTGGCTGTGGCTGTGGCCAGGTGACAGCCTGGGCTTTGTGTTCTGCCTCCTGCAACCTCCACCATGAAGAGCAGGTCCTGTTCTGGCCTTCTCCACTCACTGCCCCTTCAAACCACTGCAGCCAGGCCAAACAGTCCCTTTGCTCATGCTTATTTATTCAAAATAAAGTTGTTTGTAAGAGAAAAGACACGTTTAGCACTTACACTGAGAAACACAGCAATGACTTTGCATCTCAAGAGATGTAATGTCACTGAAGAGAGGTTTAGTCACCCCTACAGGACTGACTAAACCACTGTGCTGCTCTCATTACACCAGGTATTACTTCAGCAGCTTTCACACTGGCTATCTCCCTCCTTAATGTCATTTTACAAGCTGTGTTTAGCTTGTAAACCTGAGCCTTCACAGCACACAATATTATTTAATTCTTTAAAAACTTTGAGCTCTGGTCAATAGATGGTGATAACTAAACAATTACAAGGAACATCTGGATATCTCTCCCAGTCTGCAGCTAGGAAGTCTGTAGAAATTTTGTGTTTCTCTCCAGCAGACTCACCTGTAACACAGGAGCTCTGGAGACCACAAAAGCAGCTGGAGGTTCTTCTCCTGCCCAGCCTCTCCCCACGCAGATCCTGCTCCTCCTGTGCCTGGCTGTCTCTGATCAGTGGTCAGGTGTGCAGGACAGATAAGGCAGGTTGTTCCCTTCCTGGAAAACGGGAGGAAAGACCAAATTACAACACAGGAAAAACCAGGAGTGCCTGAGCCAGCAATGTCCCAGCACAGCCGTGCTCGCAGCGCTGCCCCACTGGCTGTGCTGAAGCCTTTGGCTGCTGCCTGTGAGCAGGTAAAGCACAGGCAGAGTGGCAAATCCTGCTCCCAGACACTACAGAGCTGTAATGCAGCCTGGAAGTTTAACTCCTTGCTCCCCAGCCCTCTGCCCTGGCTGCCTCCCCTCCCTCCCTCCTCTCCTCGCTGTTTGAGCTCCCACAGAGGGAACCCAGCAGCACTGGCAGCTGCAAAGGGGCACTGTGAGGTCTCACCTGCAGGATAAATGATTCTCTGGTTTCTCTTCCCCTGCTGTGGGGTTGGAACACAGATGACAAAGCTCCTCAGTGCAATAAGGGGGTATTTACACTTCCTGAGCAACCTTTGCTCCAGGAAGCAGGGGCACTGACACAGCCCTGCTGCACTCAGGGGCAGGTGCCCAGTGAGGAGGCTCTGGGTGGGCCACGCTGCTCCAGACCCATGGAAAAAAGGGAATTATCCAGGGAACTTCCTGGCAGATTCAGCCACAGTCACATGTGTTCCCAAACCAACGGAAAGGCAGTTTCACAACCCTCCCAATTGCAAAATATTGAGCTACAGTGCACAGAATAAGCTCAGTAAACCCAGCAGTGTTTGTTTACTGCTTTCATATCAGCTAACCACCACTGCTCCCATTAAAAAATAATACTCCAAAAATCCCTCTGCCAGGCAGAACAAAGTTACTCAGGCTTCAGAAAAACATTTGTGGGCCTGATCCACAAATGAGAGCTTGGCCCAGCAGCCAGGCTGTGCACTCCCCTACACAGCCACTGCAGCTGTTCACAGGAGCTCACTTCAGGTCTCTATGGAAAAAAGGCAAAAGCCACTTTTTGTCACTGCTGTATCCCCACTGAAGAATAATTACCAGGTGCACAGCCAAAAGAGCTGGACTTTGATGGTCCTTGTGGGTCCCTTCCAGATGAGGATATTCTGTGATTCTGTGGAAAATGCAGCATGGCCTGGGGTTCCCACAGGGCTCTGCACAAGTAACACACGAAGGAAAGAGCTCTGAGATTCTCTGAGGACTGGGGAAACCCTACTGGTGTTCTGTGCTGGCAAACACCAGGGCAGGAATGACCTCACCACCAGCTTCTGGAGAAGTCTGAGGCTTAATGAGGAGACTCACATGAAAAGCAAGCTGAGAGGTGCACAAATTCGTGTTTGGCCCTTCTGCCTCTGACTCAGCCTCACTCCGTGTGCTCTGGCCCCAGCATCGTGACAGCAGCCCTTCCCAAAACCCTGGAAAAGCAGGATGGGGGGACTGTGAGGAAACCAGCCTGGTGTGTGGGCAGCGCACAGAACTGGGGACGAGCTCACGGGTGACAGGGACGAACTTATGGGTGACAGGGCTGAGCCCACCTGTGACAGGATGAGCCCACCTGTGTCAGGGATGAGCTCACGGATGACAGGGATGAGCTCATGGGTGACAGGGATGAGCCCACCCGTGACAGGGATGAGCCCACCCGTGACAGGATGAGCCCACCCGTGACAGGGATGAGCTCACGGGTGACAGGGATGAGCCCACCTGTGACAGGGATGAGCCCACCTGTGACAGGAATGAGCCCACCTGTGACAGGGATGAGCCCACCTGTGACAGGGACGAGCTCATGGGTGGCAGGGCTGAGCCCACCCGTGACAGGGACGAGCCCCGAGCACCGAGCAGGACCCGCCGGCCCCGCAGCCGGCGCTGGAGCTGCCCCGGTTCCCGGTCCCGGGAAGGCCGAGCCGGTCCCGGGAAGGCCGGGCCGGTCCCGGGCGGACCCCGCGGGCTGCGGGGCCGGGAGCGGCGGTGCCCGCACGGAGGGCCCGGCCCGGGGCTGCACCGCGCTCCCGCCGCCCCGAATCATTCCTCTGTGCGTGCCTGCCCCTCGCCGGGAGCACCCCCCGTCCATCCCGCACCCCTCCATCCCGCATCCCTTCATCCCGCATCCCTCCGTCCCGGGCCGACCCCCCCGGTCCCGGTCCCGGTCCGGCCCCTCCGGCCCCGCGGCCCCCCGCTCACCGCACCGCGCCGGCGGCGGCGGCGGGCCCGACACAGCGCCCCGCCCACCCCGCTGGCCCCGCCCGCCTCGCGCAGACTCTGTGGTTGGCGGCGGCTCGCGCCCGGCGCCGCCGCTCGGGCGGGAGGGAAAAAAAAAAAACCGCAGGGTTGAGTGGCTCTGGGGACACGGGGACACAGAGCCACCCGGGGGATAAGGGGACACAGAGCCCCCCTGGGGACACAGAGCCCCCTTGGGGACACGGGGACACAGAAACCCCGGGGGGACACGGGGACACAGAGCACCCTTGGGGACAGGGGGACACAGAGCCCCCTTGGGGACACAGAGCCCCCGGGGGGACACGGGGACACAGAGCCACCCTGGGGATAAGGGGACACAGAGCCCCCCTGGGGACACGGGGACACAGAAACCCCGGGGGGACACGGGGACATAGAGCCACCCTGGGGATAAGGGGACACAGAAACCCCCGGGGGGACATGGGGACATAGAGCCACCCAGGGGGACACAGGGACACAGAGCACCCTTGGGGACACGGGGACACAGAGCACCCTTGGGGACACAGAGCCCCCGAGGGGACAGGGGGACACAGACCCCCCTTGGGGGACATGGGGACACAGAGCCACCCGGGGGGGACAGGGGGACACAGAGCCACCCGGGGGGACACGGGGACACAGAGCCACCCGGGGGGACACAGGGACACAGACCCCCCTGGGGACACGGGGACAGGGGGACACAGAGCCACCCGGGGGGGACACGGGGACACAGACCCCCCCTGGGGACACGGGAACAGGGGGACACAGAGCACCCCGGGGGGACACGGGGACACAGAGCCACCCGGGGGGACACGGGGACAGGGGCAGCCCCGCTGCAGCAAATTCACTTTTATGCATCGTTTTCCCCACTCCTGAACCGAGAACCCCCGGCTGTGGAACATTTCCCCTGCAGTGCCCAAACGCGGCCTCTGCCCCGGGTTTGTGGAGGCTCTGAATTGAGAAGCAGCTCTCCAGCTTAATGCTGCCTCCTCTGAAACACCATTTTTAAACAGCATCTTTAAACAGCATCTTTAAACAGCATCTTTAACCACCACCCAGAACAGCTCCTTTCCTATAGAGCTTTTTATTGGCTTGTAGAACATCTGTCTCCTTAATGTCCCTTTCCTTGCTCGCTGCCTTTTATTCCTTTATTGCCATCACATGTCTCATCTGTCACACCGGACCTTTTTCCCTTAAAGGCACAGGCAGCTGAGGAAGTCTGAAAAGGCTTTGACAAAAGCACATTCTGATCCAAACCATCATCCTCACAAAATCTTACTTGCCCCAAATTATGAGATGTTACAGCTCCTTAATGAAACGGCTGAGATATTTTTAACATGGTCAAAAAACCTATTTTATCTTCTGACCTTCAGCTCAGAAATAGCTGCACTATTTTTTTTTTTCAGTTTTCAAAAAAAAAAAAAAAAAAAAAAAAGACTGCATAAAGCAAACCACCCCTACAATTTCAGCCTCAATATTTAAACTTTGGCACCATTATAACTAGCTGAAAACATCATCTCTCAACAGGAGACACTAAACGACTGCTGCTACTCCCAACTTCCAGCTCTGTCTGTAATAATAACAAACTTCAGTGACCAGAGGCTGTGTTTGGGCATTGCAGTGGAAATCTTCCACAGCAGGGGGTTCTTTGTTTAGGAGTGGGGAAAACGATGCACAAAAGTGAGTTTGCTGCAGCGGGGCAGGTTTTGGTGAGGCCACCTTAGAGGAAACTCGCCTGTCACCTGCCAAATTGATCAGCCTCTGCAAAGGAGTTTAGTGCCAAGAACTGGAGACGTGGCTGGAAATGACAGAGTAATTTTTGGGATGCTTTAACTCCTTGGCTCTCTCGTGCTCCGTGAGCCCTGTGGGTGCTGCTGCAGAGCTGCTGGGGCTGGGCAGGGGCTGGGCTGGGGGTGAGCTCCAGGAAAGATCTCCAGTTCTGGGCTATCAAGTTCACATGGCTTTCAGTAAGGCTGTTGAGTTCTGCTGAAGAGCAACAAAGAACAGCTGGACAGCAGCTGGGGTTCTTAGAAAATAAAATTACTGTCTCGTGGCATCTCGAAAAACAGTCTGCAGGAATGGTAGCAGCAGTTCCTGAGCTGCTGTGGGGCAGAAGAAGGAAGAGGGGCTTTGCTGTGGCTGCTGGGGCAGGTGAGGGACTCACCTGCTGTGTGGCCAGGTGTGCTCAGCCTGACAGACAGAAACCTCCAGTCCAGTTTAGGAAGTTTACATTTCAATACTTTGGCCTGTTTGGTACTCAGCAATGCCACTTCTGTGCATCCAAACCACATTTGGAGGCTGGAAAGCCGATCCACACAGGAGCAGCATTCCCCAGACCCTCAAAGAGGGGGAAGGAGCTGGGGAGGAGAGCTCAGCTTCACCAAGTACTCTGCTTGACTCAAACAGAGCTGATCAAGGAGTGAGCTGTGCCTGCGTTCTGCCTTTTGTTCTGAGGAAGGGATGCTCTCATCAGCTTGAGCAGCAGATTAAAGATTGAGTGCTGGCATCTTCCCCAGGTGTTCCTGCACTGGGACAAGCTGCCTTCTGTCTCTTCCTCAGTCTTGGACTAAATGAGGATGGAAATGGAGGTTATGGGCTAAACATGCTGTTTCTCCATTGAAAAATGGGGGAACATGAGGTTCCTGGGGACACGGGGGCAGAGCCAGGCAGCTTTGCTGAGCCAAGGACGTTCCTGTGCCTCCTGAGGGCTCCTGGTGCATTAACCAAAAGAGGGACTTGCACCTGTCCTAGCTGAGAAAAAGCAATCCTAAAGCAATGACTGATTGCCACAGTTGTAGCCATAAATGTGCAGAGACGGGCTGAAATCTGTCTGCTCAAGGAGCAGAGGCAGCTCTCGGGCCAAGGGCTGCCTCCTCTCTGAAAACCCATCCTTGTTGGTTCTCTGGCACGGACTGCCCTCAGTGTGCTCCAGACCCATTCAGAGCACCCACAGCTTTGGGTCTGTACCATGACCTGCTCATTTATTCAGAGAGAAGCCCAGGGTGGGCACCTGGTGCTGCTGCCTGGCTGGCACTGCCAGCTTTGACAGCAATTCATTATCTTGGCTTGTGACATGACACCAGACAGGCATGGAGGGAGTGCAGTGCTGCCATGGTGAGCTGAAGTTTCCCCAATGGACTTGCCTGGGGTTTGATGGTTACTGTGTCCCAGGTAAATCCTGATCAGTGAAGGATGGCACACAGCCTTTGAACTCCCAACGGGCATTGCTGGGCTGCTGTTCAGTTTCCTGCCCAGTACTGCAGCACAGCAGGCTTGATCAGCCCAGGCTGCTGCACCCAGAGCACAAATGCAGCTGGGCAAAGTCAGAGGTTTTCTCTGAGCAGCTGAATGGGAAAGTTGAGGAGATGTCCCTCTGCTCTTATCTCTGTGTCCTATTAGACTCACTGATAAAGCCTAAACCCAAAATCCTTCCCCTACCATCCTCCTGCAGCCAAGTGAAATGCAGCAAAATGCATGAGCATGTTACTATAAATGGATGTGGTGCAGCAGGGAATTGGTGCAGAGTTTGGGATGGTACGTGGAGTGCGCTGCATTGCTGGCACCAGCCCGGGTACTGGGGCTGCCAGGCTCTGCACTGGTGCCCGCCTCACCCTGCCTGCTGCAGATTAACTCTGGTTTCTGCTCTGTGGCCTTGAAATGCTGCAAAACGCTGCAATAAATCAGCGTTCCCTACGCCTTGGCAAAGATGGGGGAAATTGCAGTGGAATATTTTTGCCATTTAGGGGAGTCTCTCCTTGCTGCTGGTTTCAGCACACACTGGGGTGCCACGGTGGGTGGGAATTTCTGCTGGGAATGCTCCCTCTGCCATGCAGGGGCTGCAGCAGTGCAGTGCTGCTAGCAGGGCACAGGGAACCATGAACACAATGCTGGTTTTGTCTCTCTCTAGGGTGCTGTAAAACCAGGATTTTTAAGCATGTTACCTTAAGCAACAGGTATAGAGAAGTAAAAACCAATCCAGAGCTCTGCAGAGGGGGATGAGGGCAGTGCTGGGTGCAGACCTGAGTCTCCATCTCTCCAAAGAGAAATGGAGATTTCTCCATTTCTTCTCCAAAGAGGCAAAGAATGGGCATCCTGTGCATTGGGATGTGCAGCTGAGGGGTGCAAGTGGTCCACTCAAAAACCTAATGTCCAAATGGAAAAGCAATGATGGTGAAAGGGGAGAAAAAGGCTCCGGGGCAGGTCCAGGACTCTCTCAGATGCAGATAATCAGCAGAACTGAAAGCTTGATCTGAAAGCTTTGCAGGGGAGCAGCAAAAGGCAGTAATAAATTGAAATTAACCCTGAGGTACACTCGGTGTTTTGCTGTGATGCATTGGAGTGTGTAGATTAAAAACGAACATGGTTCAAAATTATCTCTTTGCAGCTGTTGGTTCCAGAGCCAGCACATTGCAGAGATCTTGACCGAATATTTAAAATGCTCTGTGCCCCTGGAAATGTCCTTCAATAACCTTGAGCTCAAAGTGGTTTCCCCTGCCTGAGTCTCACTGAAGACCAGAACAAGAGAAATAAGAATTTAAATCCTGTGCTTGGTAGTTCCAGGATGTAAAGCCAAGTGTCCTCCCTGGACACTTGTTCCTCTGGGCACTTCTCTTCCATGGGTCACAGAATGGGCTGGTGCCTGTTGTCTCTGTGCTCTGCCGTGAAAATGGGCTCAATCCCCCATGGAATGCAGGGTCTGCACAGCATCACTGGCTGCACCCTTCCAGGGCCCGAATCAATGGAATACTGGGGATGAACTGTGCATTTTGTCAAGCCAATAAGGGCCAGGAATTAAATTACACAGGACAGAAAGCATTTCTAGGCCTGAGCTGGTTTAAAACAATGTATTTTAGCTGAAGTTAGTGACATGCCTTTGGATGAGGTGCTGCACTGTTCTGTGTATCAGGAAAAAAAAATGTCAAGTGCTTGGGGGATGCGTGAGCTTTTTGTTTGGCGTGTTTGTTTTCTTTTTTTCAAATTTATTATTTATACTTGCAGCTTCTGTCTGAATTCTTGATGTGGC